GAGACCGTTGTGGTCACACGTGAAATTATTTCACCATTTCGGATCTATCCAAACCCCCAAAACTGTTTTCAGCAATTTTTGACAAAGTAAAAATCTCAAAATTTTAAAACTATATTATTGTGGTCCAAAATTAGGAGCATAAACAAAGAGGAAAACATCAGAAATATAAGGGCAGGAGAAACACACTGGGTTACAGGAACGGATCGAGCGGTCTGACTTGGAGGGAAGAAGGACTAAGCCAGAGAGCTGGCGCAAATACCAGTGCTTTAGCCACGAAAGTGGAACAAATAAACCAGACCACAAATATAACTGGAGACTATTGGCAGCTTCGGCTAGCTAACAAACAGCAGGTTGAATGTGGTCAAGCTTTTGTGTGTGTGTTTGCGTATGTTTGTGTGTGTGAAAAAGAATTGCGATCGGAATACAATGTGATGATAATAATGATGCTGGTGATAATGATGGTGACATCTCAGTTGCGCTGATGGTAGGGTTATGCGTCCTCTGGACCACTCAAATTTACACAGAGTCTTCATAGTAAGTTGTCCAGTCTTGTATAAATTACACAGAAAGATTCCAAGCACAGATGGCCATGGCCCACATTTGTTTGTGCCATACGCACACCGGAATAAGTAACCTCGCTGTGAGTTTTGTTTTCAAAATTGTTATATTTTTATTTTAAATATAGATTATGTATAACAAAGGAGGGTTAAGTTAGTTTAGTTATTTGTAGGTTGAGCGAATGGCGAAAAAAGGGCGCGGTCATTTAGATAGCGTGGGGATAAGAATGATAAATAATGCGCACGCGAGAGAGAGAGAGAGAGAGAGAGAGAGAGAGAGAGAGAGAGAGAGAGAGAGAGAGAGAGAGAGAGAAAGCGGAATAATAAGACATAATGCTTATAGAGAAAATGCATGAGAGAAAGAAAGAGGGGGGGGGGAGATAGACACAGAGAGTCAGAGAGAAGAAAAGAAGAAGAAGAAGAAGAAGAAGAAGAAGAAGAAGAAGAAGAAGAAGAAGAAGAGGAAGAAAAGAAGGAAGAAGGAGAAGAAGAAATCTAATTAGGGAAATTAATGCAATATCACGGAAATATATAAGACCAGGTTATTTCTATCCTGAAGAGAATCAGTACTCCAATACCTATTTAAAAGTGTTTTCACTGCAGTGAATTGCCTACCAGATCAGTTCTGGGTCTAGTTTCCCCAGACATCTAATTTTGGACATTTTCCAAGACAAACCATGTTTTATGTATTCTGTATGACCTGTGGGAAGACATCTTGTTATCCGTTGTTGTTTCTGAAATTTCGCCAAGGCAGCTGTGTTAGTTTTGGCGCTTTGCTGCCGATTTCAGTCAGTATAAGCCTGTAAAAAGGAGTCACCGTGGCGTAGCGGCTAGACGCTCGCGTGCGGATCGGAAGATCGTCGGTTCGTTCCCTGGCGAAGCCGGACTTTTGTCAAAAATGACCTTGACTTCCAGGTCGACTCAGCGGTCACTGGAAGTAAAGGTGGCCGGCGTGATGCTGACCACATCACCCATCGTGTGGTCTATAAAAATATAGGTCTAGCCCTATGTGCCTTATACGCCTAAGGATGTATTTTTTACTTACCTTTACTTAATTACTATAAGGCTGTACATATAATGAACAACTAAGACAGGCATATACTTGCAGTTATTTAGGCGTGCTTTTCGACCATTTATTCGACCCCGATGTAAAGGATGTTGCTTTATGAGCGGACGACTTATGAAACACACACTGGTAGTCATGAGATAAACCCTGACCCACGGGAGAAATATGCTCTAGAGAAGGCGGTGGGATAAACAGAATGGTCGAGCGGGCTTTTGTAATTAATAATTTTTGTGTTTCTTCTTCCTCCTTCTTCTTCATCATCTTCATGTTCGTCCTCTGCCTCTTTCTTCTTCTTTTGCTATCTTCTTCTTCTGTCTTCTTATTCTCATCCTCCTACCCCTCCTCCTCGCCCTTCTCATCATCGTCATCATTGTTCACTGTTGAATCGAAGGCTTTAGCCAGGTCACAATAAACCGCCATATCCTGCAGTCTTATCACTGCTGTCCTCACGTTATTTCATTTCTCCTACAACTTGTTCGGTCTATCTTGCAGCTAGTTACCTCACTTTGTAAAATTTGTGATTACAAATGGTACAAGATCACAGTACAATAAAACTTCCATTAAGCGTCAGTTTCTGCTATCCGTCAGCGTCTTAAGCAAAGGCGTGAACATCAACAAACAGACGGGCATGTTTTTCAAAGTTACGTAGGTGTATAGTATTACAATACATTTCTGTACATTACTCTTATACTGAAGTTTCTATTGATCATTTTGTACAATTAAATACAGTATGTACATGTATGTATTATTCAAGTTTCCACAGCGGCAGTTAGTATCCGTTACAATAGAACATTTCTATCAAAAAGAGGTTAATCTTTTGAAAATACAGTGGAACCTCGCTTAACGAGCATAATTCGTTCAAGAATCCTACTCGTTAAGCGAAACACTCGTTATGCGAAGCAATTTTTCTTATATAAATTAATCTAAAATACGATAATGCGTTCCATGTCGAAAAAAAATACTCACTAAATGCTATGTATAAGTTATACTATAACATTTATTCAAAGAAAATTATATACATATTTAAAGAGAGTGAATCATCTTTATCTTTTCTTCAAACGCGGAACGAACCCACTTGGAATGCGAATTCGATTTGCAGAAAACAAAAGTCGAAATAATTATGATGCATAGCTAAATATTTTTTTACTAGAAAGATGTCCAGAGACATTTGTTTTTGTCCACGCTTCAAAATTTGGCAAAAATGCGACACCGCATTATCATTAAATTTGCAGCGCGCATAGCCACTTCCTTATTAGGGTGATGCTTCTCAATGTGAGAAGCAACAGTTTCCCATGCTTTCAGCATTTTTCTTATTTCGCCAGAAGATTGTTGCTTCTCTGTTACCTCCTCCTCCTCCTCTGACAAACTTTCCTCCAAAACTTCTTACTGTGAAACACAATGCAACTCCATAAGCTCTTCGATGGTCAGCTCTTGGCTGTTCTCTTCCACAAGCTCTTCGATATCACTGTTATCCACCTACAATCCCATGATAGTGGCCAAAGACACAATCTCGTTGACTACCCCTCAAAGTCTTAAATCGACAACACTCTCCGGCCAAAGCTTCCTCCAAGAAGAAGTTAGGGTTCTCTTGGTAACCCCTTCCCCCGCCTTGTCGGTCATCTTGAGGCAGGCAACGATGTGGAAGTGATTTTTCCAAAACTCTTTGAGAGTGAGGTTGGTCCCTTCAGTCACCTGAAAACAATGCTCGAAGAGTGCTATAGTGTAGAGCTTCATAAAGTTATAAATAACTTGCTGGTCCATGGGTTGGAATAACGGAGTGGTGTTGGGAGGCAGAAACTGGATCTTGATTAACTTAAATTCATCAGGGAGGTGATCTTTTAGGCCTGGAGGATTCATGTACATATATCACAATATAACACAAGTTTGAGAAAACGTGTGATCACAAGCGACAATGCTAATGGAACGAGTGTTAAACACTGATGTAACATGCGCAAAATCCGGGACTTCCCCTCTCCTCGCCATTCGTTATGCGAAATGCCGCTCGTTAAGCGAGTCATTCTTTTACAATATGTTTTGCTCGTTATGCGAATTAATCGTTATGAGAGGTGCTCGTTAAGCGAGGTTCTACTGTATTTGCAGAAGCCGACAACGCTGACCAGCCAAACCACCGTTCTAGCCAGCAACATATTCTTGCTTGAGAGAGAAGTTGAATAGTTGGGGAGAGTAAGGTGCATGCAGTAGCAAAGAATGGGACGACTGAGTATGAACTAGTTGCTAGCCTATGCTCCGTTTGGGGATAAAGTGAAGCACAAGAAGAAAAAGAAGGAGGAGGAGGAGGAAGGGGAGAAGGAAGAAGACGAATATGATGACGGCGATGAGATCCTTGCTAGCTAGATACTGCTGTTAGATAAAGCAGTCTCCCATACAATGCTATTATTTGTGCGTATTCCTTAACTGGGAGTTAAGGGCAGCCAACCCGAGGTTCTAGGGTTCAAATCGGCGTCGAGACAGATTTATTTTTCATCTGTCAGTATACCCCTTGGCTCCCAGGTCGCCCAGCCTATATTAAGAATTAATTAACAGAAAGTGTATTGATCGGCACTCATAGAAAGAAGTAGAAAGATAGAAGAACACACCAGACAACATAAAAATCGAAAGCTATTGTTACCGTGCCGGGAATTGAACCTGTCACCTCCAGACAGCGTCTGCGCCTCGCCATGAATACAAGTGCACTAAGATACATGGTCAACTAGGCACCCCCCAAAAAAGGTGTCTTATTGGCCATGTCTATCGTACAGCTTGAAATCCACAACTATGGAATACAGACAGAATTCATTTCAACCCATTGCAATGGCACCATAGGTTACAGAAATTTATATTAACGAAGCAAATGTCGAATAACAATCACAGCAACAATTTACGAACACAGTAAGACCTTATTGCTTTGTCTAGAATACACACACATTTAAGAAATGTATTTGATTTGTAGGTTCCGGTGTATTTACGTCATTCCTATAAATAAACAGAGGGGGAACCTTTGAGGCCGTTAAATATTATGAATTAATCGAGTAATAGAAAGTGAATTGATCGGCACTCATAAAAAGAAGTAGAAAGATAGAAGAACACACTAGACAACATAAAAATCGAAAGCTATAGTTACCGTGCCGGGAATTGAACCTGTCACCTCCATACGGCGTCTGCGCCTCGCCATGAATACAAGTGCACTAAGATACATGGTCAACTAGGCACCCCCAAAAAAACGCAAGTACTAGGCAGTATTCTGGGAAGTAAAAGCCACCGGCGTAATGTTGATAGATGCCGAAAGGTCTATACAGTTTTGAACTTAACATAAATCCCATGCATGCGTGGCATAAAAAGGATTTTTTTTTAACCATATCTTGATTGATTGTTTTCAGATGGAGTGGCTGAAGCAAAAGCCACTTGTCGGCTTTGGGTTCGTCTGGTCAGCCTGGACAATGCTTCACAACGCCGTGACCATCAGACTCAACAGAATGACCCAGACGGCTTTTCTATCTCCACTGCTGACGTTCTTTGTGGATGCCTTAGCCAACATCCTGGCCACTGATGAGTCCAATATCTTTGTCATCAACATTGAAGACGATGTGGATGTTTCTGCGCAGATTTCAATGTTAGTGTCTCAGTACGACAGGAGTCTGTCATACAACAGGGCCAGACCAAAGATGTGTTCTACACTCCGGAGTATCTCAGGGAAGTGATTTACCTGCATCGGACATTGTTGGCCAACTTGTCTACTCTGCAGGTAAGTCGGTGTACCGTTGCCCATTTGTCATGTCTGCAGATGTTTGAATTGTGACAGATATAGCCAGCATTCTTATGTAGCAACGTAAACAATCGCGTGTCACTGATCCTATGAAATAAACGCAACACCTATTGCTAATTGGAAGCTGCCGTGGTGTAGGGGCTAGACGATCGCCTGCGGATCTTAAGGTCGTAGGTCCGGTCCTGACGAAGCCGGACTTGATTGTTTGAACCAAACAATGGCCTTGGCTTCCAGGTCAGGCCAGCCTGAAACGAGTACCAGGTACAGTTCTGGGAAGTAAAAGCGACAGTTGCGATGTAGATCTTCTTCTATTTCTTGTTCTTCTTCTGCTGCTGATGCTCCTTCTCCTCATTCTCCCCCTCCTCCTCCGCATCGTCTTTGTTTTGCTGCTACTGCTGTTAATTTTTCACTCTGTCTCACACGCATGTATGTCTGAGAGCCACATTAGCACATTGGATAACATACACGCCTACTGGCCTTGTGGTAATCTTTTCGGATCCCTATCAATGCAGACTTTAAACAGAAATGTGACCAAGTGTTCCTTTGCCAGACCATCTTAGATGGTTGCTAGGAAATGTTCTGAGAATGAAATGGTGGCCAGCACGATACTGACTACGTCACCAATCGATTGCCCAATGGCCTACACAAATATGAGACCAACGCCATATACCCATTGTTACTTATATCGAGTCCTTATTAGGACGAAATTTTTTTTTATTTGAAGCCCTACTCTGGCTCTCGCCAGGGGCTGCAATATAGCCCGGCCATAAAAATGACCTAAAGGCTGAACGCGGTTTCTGGGACCTCTCCACGGTGATCCTCACCCGCATGGTGGCACTTGTGTCATCGGGTGTTTATCGCTTGTGTGATGTCCTGGTGGGGTAGAAAGTCAGTCATATACCCATTGCATCTTAAAGGTGAGAAAAACTTAAAACCTGCCCACTACATGTTATCCTTTTAGAGTTCCACAATATAACTATAGTATATGGCTGTACGATGTACGTATGTGTGTAAGTTGTACCCCACCAAGACATCACACAAGCGATAAACACTCGGTGACACAAAGGGCCACCATGCGGATGAGGATCACCCTTGGAGAGGTCCCACAAACCCTGCTGAGCCGTTAGGCCACATTTGAGGCCCGGCTATATTTAGGGCCTCCGGCAAAAGCCAGGATGAGGCTTCAAAATAACTAAACATTGCATCCCACAAGGGGATGGCGAGATTGTAAGGCTGTACGATTAAATGGGGTTTCTGGAATCTTTACCTGCTTGATTTTCAACTTAAGAAAAGAAAAAAGAAAAAACAACCGTTCAGGCAAATTCCTTTACTGTGTGTACGTCGTCTCTGCTGTGTTCTCTCTATGCGTCACCATCCCAACTATACAGCTTTAGTTTCGCTACATTTAACAGTCTAGAAACACGCAATTAACTAAATCCAACACCGGTTACGAAAGACCCAACACCGAGCTATCACCGATTGATGTCCTGTGATATGAGGCGTGCAGTTTGATAACACTTTCTACAAGGCGCGATTGTGCCGTTTTTATATCTGATAAAGAGGTGGGCGGATAAATAGTTCGGAACCCACCCATTTCTATGTGAACGTTAATAGCCGTTATAAAAAAATAACAAAGACAACTGAAGCATGGAAACTTGTGGACTTATTTCGTTGTTTGTCCAAATTATAGCTAAGAGTGGTTAGTAGCATACCGTACTCAGAATGTATAAATTATTGTGAGATCAGTTATCTTCAGTTCTTCAAACTGTTTAAACATGTCACTCGCCAGTAGTTCATAACTTACGTAACAACACTCAAGACATTCCCATAAGCACCCCCACCCCATCTTCGGCAGCCAGCGAAGAGTTAGTTCCATTAGGAGTTTGATTAGACACAGTATGTGTCCGTTTTGCCGTTCTTCTGAGTATTGTGTCGGCCAGATCCCCCGCTCACTCCTTGCTGCACCATTAGCACCACGCCTAAATGAACTAACTATTCGTGCTTGGGCATTGTTCACATGCTGTCAGAGGGTCTTGACCACATCTAGCTTTCCATCATTAATCCACCGCCTATTGGTGCAGCCAGTCTGTCTGCATGTTCGTTTCCCTACACACGTAGGTAAAAAAAAAGGTAAGGACAGGATTTTTGACTGCGCTGGCTCATTTAGTGTACATTGTCGACATTCGGCCGGTGATGTGAGTGTCACACGGGACATTTCCTAGAGCGTTATGCTGTATTCCCGCTGGAAGCGCCAAGTCATTTATAAAACGTAGTCGCAATGGAGATTCGAACACAGACTTGACAACCACGTTAACGAGACATATTTTTCCCCACAGGCGTAAATTGCCATCTTTTTCTAGGTCTTTCCCTTGTTCTCTCCTTCTCTTTTGGTGTACGACTTGCATTTATTATAAGTGGGCCGTCTGTGAATGTAATTTATAATTTAGAATTGTTCTGTGCCGATTTTATTTTTCTAATTACCTCATTTCTAATACTACCTCTTCTTATAGCTACTGCAGCCTTTCTCAGACATCTGATTTCCATAGTTACTTCTCGCATGTTTGTTTGTTCTGTGTGGCCATGTCTAGCATTGGTAGCATGGGGTGAGAATAACAATGCTTTGTACGTGTCTCTGTGCTGAATGGGATTGATCGTCTTTTGTCGTAAGGGAGGGAGCTGGCTGTCCCAGTAAATGTAATCTATCGAATGTCAATAAAGCGACTCCTGCTCAGAAAGTTTCTCCTATAGGTTTTCAGTCTCAAAGATAAAGACCTGTTGACTCAAAAAATCACCATTCGGAGGAAAATCTAACAGGAGCAATCAAAGAAACCACGTTCAACCTTATAACAGATAAATATATATATATATATTGGAGCACACTAGTGTTGCGAAGTAGCCGGCATGGCGAAGAGGCTTGATGTTCGCCTAGCGAATCGGAACGTCATGTATTCGGGTCCTGACAGTACCGAAATTATTTTTAAAATGGCCTAAACTCCCGGGTCGACCCAGCCTTGAATCGGTACCAAATGGACTTCAGGGAAGTAAAGGCGGCCGGCATGATGCTGACCACATCACACACAAAGTACCGATTGGTCTATAAAATATAAGGTCTAGTCCTGTATGCCCAGCGCACCTGAAGGCGTGAAAGATGGTCTTTTACTGAATCAGTGTTGCGGAGCGAACTCTAGTGTGGGTGACTGCTGATTTGAGAAGCTTTAGTGTAGAGAAACTTCAGAAGGCAGGAGAGCGTGATTTGTAGTGCACAGCAATACTCGTTTCTTTTTCCTACACACGATCCCCCCCCCCCCCCCCCCCAGAACACCACAACAGCCTGTGATTCCTGTAAAGGATACGACATGGATTGCAAGGCGGGAGAGCGTGGACAAATCCAAGTTTTAGAGTTTGGACAATAAACCTTTTAGAATTTAGGAAATAAACCTAGATTGCCCAACCGTTTCAAGAAAGGTGTGTGTTTATGAGCAATTTGAATCGCTTGACTGCGCCTTTGCTTCAGTTTCATTGGTCCTTGTGGATGTGATTAAGCTTTGCACTGAGAAGGTCATGGTCTTCGATTTCGGACTTATGCCTATCCGTGTGCAAGTGCAGGTGTTTCGGAAAGGTCTTGAAATAGTCATTGGAGCTATGGAGTATCTGGCTTTGTGCCAGCGCTTTCGGACGTGTGAATAGCCATTCTGTGGTAAATACTCTAAACCCACAGAGAGCGGTGCAAACACCTTATTCACTTCGCAATGCCGACCCTTGTGTCACAACGATAAACGAATAGCAGTAATCGATTGTCAGAAATAAGCAAGCAGGGTTGCCTTTGTCTTCCAGGTAGCATCCTGCATAATTAAATATGGTCTGGTTTTTTTCTTGTCTTGTCTACAGTCGGACTGAACACAACTAATTTATCTACCAATAAGCATGTCGTAAATGACGACTAGTTAGGGCGTATTACCTTCGAAGTCAGAGTGCATCGGTTTGAGAAGCGAGGTTTTAACAGTCTGCATACAAATAAACCAGATCTATAAACGGATGCACATTCAAGTTGAAAAGTTCAGAAATGGACAAGAAACCAGCCATATCCGTCGAGTTGACCGCCAGTGAACGCGACGACGTCGAAGAAGAAGAAGAAAAAGATGATGAAGAAAAAGAAGCTAAGTGACTCAACACATTTATCATTAATCCCACGCAACCTGCGTTATCTGAGGAATGGTCGATAAGTAAGTGAGGACATCACACAAGCGATAAACACCCGGTGACACAAAGTGTCACCATGCGGCTGAGGATCACCCGTGGAATGGTCCTGGAAACCCCGTTCAGCCCTTTAAGTCTTATTTATGGCCCGGCTATATTTAGAGCCCCCGGCAAAAGCCAGACCGGGGCTTCAAATAACGAAAAATTGCATCTCTCAGGGGGACGACAGACATACAAAAATAAAGTGGTCCATAAGCAGATAAGCCGAACAACACCAACTGTCAGCGAAAATATGGTCTCTGAGAATCGTGCAATGAATATAATGAAATAATACAAAATTATGTAAGTGAACCTCCTCGAAACAAATCAGAAACTGGTTAATGAAATTGGACGCAGTAGATTTTGCAGCTAGAGAGTTGGGGGGGGGGGGGGGGGGGGGGGGGGTGTAAGTCAGAACATTTTAACCATGACATATGAAGTAGAATTGGCCGGCTTCCATTTATCGCCCCTTCCCTTCCCAGATAATTCTCCGTAAAGTGCCTGATACTTATATTTACGAAGTTGGGTCAGTCTCTGAGCCGTACTTGTCGGAAAACAATTATACCACTTATGAGAAGTGAACCCAGACCACTAGCTTGGCAGGCATACGCACTCGTCACTTTGTCATCGCAGCTGTTGATAAGGTAGGCATTTAGTGAAGTATCAGAAAAGTTCCATACCTAAGCAGGAAGAAAACAACGACAATATAACCCAATTAAAACACAGAAATGTTAAGAATATATTTGTTACAGCGAATACTAACTAACTAGTGTTACTGCAGTCGTCGCACTATTACTAGTGCTGTTGCTGTTGCTGCAACAATAACTAATACTACTACTACTACTAACTACTACTACTACTACTACTACTACTACTACTACTACTACTACTACTACTACTACTGTTGTAACTGCTAATGCTGACTGCATTTGCTGCTGCTAATTATCCTACTGCTGCTACTACAATTGATGCTGCTACGGCTGCTGCTGTTTCTACTACTACTACACTACTGCTGCTACTACTGCTGCTGTTGTTTCTACTACCACACTACTGCTGCTGCTCTTTCTACTACTACACTACTGCTGCTGCTGTTTATACTACTACTACACTACTGCTGCTACTACTGCTGCTGTTGTTTCTACTACACTACTGCTGCTGCTGTTTCTACTACTACTACACTACTGCCGTTTCTTCTTCTTCTTCTTCTTCTACTACTACTACTACTACTACTACTGCTGCTGCTGCTCCTACCGCTGATGCTGTTACCATAACAAACAACTACTACATTTACGGTGTAGATTGACATAGTTTCCGGTCTTCTAACTAATCGGCTATTCCCGGCACTTCCAGACTAAGCCAAACTACTGATTTATGAGGCCTGAGTCAGAATAATTCCCGGACCACCACAACACGAAATGTAATATTTATTGCTATCGGCTGTGCAAGAATTCGCACTATTGGCGCTTTTTAATGTATAGCTGGCAAAGACTTCTTGTCGACAACCCACCCGTCTCCCTGTGCTTGTATTGTTGTAAAACCTTGGTGCTATTTCACTAGAGCGCGGGGCTAATGCCTGGTTGTATAATTAAAAAAGAATCCCACTTTGTAGTCAGTTTCAGCAGTAATAAATAAAGAGAATCAGAGACTCGGCGATTTGTTGACAGAAGTATGTACCATTTGTATAAATATGTCATTACAACGGGGACGCTTCTGTTCTTTCGTACTCGAAATTTTTTTTTTCACACTACTGAAGATTGCTTTTTTGTTTTGTTTTGTTGTTGTTGCTCTGTTTATCAGAGTCTGAATCTGTGTTTGTTATCATGTCTTCCTTGTTAATGTTTGTGCGAGCTCTAATTTTGTCTCGTGAAGATTGTAGGACCCCTACCTCCCCCCCCCCCTCCCTCTCTCTCTCTCACGCACGCACACACACACTGTCTCTAACATACTCTCTCACACACGTTCATTGTCTGTCTTGTGCGCTCTCTTTCCGTCTGGCTCTCTTTCTGTCTGACGCTATCATTCTCCCAATCTTTCACTTTCTCACTGTAGCTATCTCGCACTCTCTGCCCCCCCCCCCCCACTCTGTCTCTTTCTCTGCATTTTCCCATCAATGTATGCCTTAATCGTTCCTTGTCTCTGTCGTTATATCTCTCAACCCTCTCCTCTCTTTCTCGCTGTGTTTCTGTCTGTGTCTCCTTAGCTCTGCCTGTCACTCTGTCGCTATCTCTCTCCCTCCCTGTAGCCACCTTTCTCTGACACTATGCCTCTGCACATTTGATCTGATTCAGTACCCAGCTTGTATCTTGTGCCCAGGTTTCTAACCTACGCCATGGTTTGCATTTTGTCACTGCAGGTCCTCCCCTTTGACGACAATCTCTGCCTGGTGGAGCCCTGCACCAACTTCGAGGCCTGCAGGTCTGTTGTTCGACAAGGCGTTGCCCAGCCCGTCATATCCTCGAAGACGGTCCTGTTCCGCCCAGTGCACCCAACCCAGATTTTTCAGTGTGTGTGTCCATATGGATTTGCAGGTAGATGCTCAGAACATTGTTGTAGTTTTCATCCAGCATCAACAACATATACTCCCTACTTGTAAAGATAACCTTCTTTCATCACAAAAATGTATCATATTTACTATATCTTTTCATAGACACCTGTTACCATATACAAATGTATCATTCTCTCTCTATACATCTAGTTATATTTCTAACGACATTAATATATTGTTGGCATTGTATATACTTTTTATCACATAGAAATATCATTTTCATTAGTTCCTCTAAAGTTGCAGAAAAAAGAAGACTCTCATTACATATACACTTAGATACTTTTCACCACTTAAAAATATATCATTCTGCTTTAAACTGTAAAAAAAAGGTATCACCAGTACTTTTGAAACAAAGCATGCCACAGAAGCTGCAGTATCAAGAGGAGCAGTGCTCAGTTGCTGCCTGCCTGCTGCCTCTGTTAGTCTCTCTCTCCTAGACCAGCTACTAACCAAGGTTAAGGGCCTGGCCCACAACGGCAGAACATGATGTGTTCAGGGCTCCATTTTGCTGTCCTAGAATAGGGCTAGTATCCTCCCTAACGTACTCCTCTGCCTGGAGGTTAACAAAGAACACGTATTATTGACTACTAAATGTTTAAATCAAGAGGATCGACTTCATTGCACCGGGCTTTATCCCATATGACTCAGTCTCTCTCTGCTGAATGGCAGCTGCCTGCTGAGAGTGTGGGGCAGGCAAACAGCTTAACCACTTCGCCGTGGAGACCCTCAGTTTTGACCACTGTTATACGAAAGCTCAGTCATATCTGACCAAGACCTGGCTCTTATTTTAGATGGTTTTTTTATATCTGCAAATTCTCTGAATGATATTTCTAGATTTAGTTCCCATATTCTATGAAAGGTATTTCTAGGTGCAGTTTATTTACACATTCTGTGAATGGTAATTCTAGATTCAGTCCAAATGGTATATGAATGGTAATTCTAGATTCAGTCCAAATGGTATATGAATGGTATTTATAGTTTCAGTCTTCCGTGAATGGTATTTCTAGGTTCAGTTCAAATATTCTATGAATGGTATTTCTAGATGCAGTCATCTGTGAATGGTATTTCTAGATTCAGCCCACGTATTCTGTGAAGTATAATTATAGATTCAGTCTGCAGATTCTATGAGTGGTAATTCTAGATTCAGTCTGCAAATTAGACAAGTCAATACTAAGTGTGAGAAATATAATATGAGGATGAGCATTGAAAAGACAGAGACAATGGTAACAGACAGACAAGAAGAAACTATATCAATTAAAGTAAATAACACAGAAATAAAACAAACGAGCAAATTTAAATATCAAGGATAATTTTTCACCTCAGATGGAAGAAAAGACAGAGAAATCAGCATACGATGTGTGAAAGCAAATCAAGTTATGGGACAATTAACACCGCTTCTCACGCATAGAAAGATACCTCTGTCAACCAAAGCAAATCTCATAAGAATGGTTTTTTGGCTAACATTGTACTACCAGTGCCAAACATGGACCCTTACTACAACTAATTACAACTATTAACAGAGATCAGATGTCTTAGGAGAGCTGCCGGTGTGGACAAGAAGAGATAAAATCAGGAATGGAGAAATTAGAAGAAGACTAGGACTAAAACCAGTCAGACAATTAATTAAAGATCCCAAAAAATGAGAGGGTTTGGCCACCTGACGAGAATACCCTGGTAGCAACTGCCACAGAGAGCTATACTAAAAAAAAAAAAAAACACAGAGCAAGGGGAAGACCACGAAAGACGTGAAGGGACACAATCAGGAGTAACCTAACAGAAATGAACACCAACTTGTACAGTGCATTGGAAAAAGAATACAAATGATCCTTACATCTCCCCCAACACCTCGCTGAGGTAAATAGTGGAAGAGAAGAAGAAGAAGTCTGCAAATTCTGTAAAGGATTTTTATAGTCAGTCTGCAAATTCTGTGAGGGGGGTAGCACTAGATTCTGGATTCCCACTGATCTTTCTCCCACATATTCAAGCCTTCCATACTCCCTAGGTTGGGAAACCATTTTCCTGCAAGGCTGCCAATTTTAACTGACGTGACAGTTAGCCTCATCACTGTCATTAAACTGACGCGACAGTTAGCCTCATCACTGTCATTAAATAATAGTGTTCCTTTTTCGTAAAACCATTCAACATTGCAGTGGCATTTACTTATTAACCTTTTCAGGCATGAACCAGACCAAAATGTGTGACACGGAAATTGATCTGTGCTATAGCTTTCCATGTCAGAATAATGGTGCTTGCCTGCGCCATGAGACAGGATACACTTGTCAGTGTAAACCGGGCTTTACAGGCAAGTGATTCTGTCCTTACATTATAGTTATTGTTGTTGTCATCATCTTCTTTTTCATCTTTGTGTGGGTTCTGCTGTCCCATTGTGAGGGAAAACACGAATAGACCCACTATCTTCCCTGACAAGCAAGTCGTAAGAGTCGCTTAATTGAAGGCTTCCTTTAAAGTCGGAAGTGTATCTGCATGAGAGGCAAGGAACTTGACAGTCTGCATACAGAGAAGTCACTTATGTAAAACATATGCGCATGCAATGTCCAGAGGTGGACAAACAACCAGAACTTTCCACTAGAGTTTACAGCTTGTAAATGTGCAGGAGAAGAAGAAAAACCTTCCACTAGAGTTTACAGTTGTGAAGGTGCAGAAGAAGAAGAAAAACCTTCCACTAGAGTTTACAGCTTGTGAATGTGCAGAAGAAGAAGAAAAACCTTCCACTAGAGTTTACAGCTTGTGAATGTGCAGAAGAAGAAGAAGAAAAACCTTCCACTAGAGTTTACAGCTTGTGAATGTGCAGAAGAAGAAGAAAAACCTTCCACTAGAGTTTACAGCTTGTGAATGTGCAGAAGAAGAAGAAAAACCTTCCACTAGAGTTTACAGCTTGTGATAGTGCAGAAGAAGAAGAAAAACCTTCCACTAGAGTTTACAGCTTGTGAATGTGCAGGAGAAGAAGAAAAACCTTCCACTAGAGTTTACAGCTTGTGAATGTGCAGGAGAAGAAGAAAAACCTTCCACTAGAGTTTACAGTTGTGAAGGTGCAGAAGAAGAAGAAAAACCTTCCACTAGAATTTAAAGCTTGTGAATGTGCAGAAGAAGAAGAAAAACCTTCCACTAGAGTTTACAGCTTGTGAATGTGCAGAAGAAGAAGAAAAACCTTCCACTAGAGTTTACAGCTTGTTAATGTGCAGAAGAAGAAGAAAAACCTTCCACTAGAGTTTACAGCTTGTGAAGGTGCAGAAGAAGAAGAAAAACCTTCCACTAGAGTTTACAGCTTGTGAAGGTGCAGAAGAAGAAGAAAAACCTTCCACTAGAGTTTACAACTTGTGAATGTGCAGGAGAAGAAGAAAAACCTTCCACTAGAGTTTACAGCTTGTGAATGTGCAGGAGAAGAAGAAAAACCTTCCACTAGAGTTTACAGCTTGTGAATGTGCAGGAGAAGAAGAAAAACTTTCCACTAGAGTTTACAGCTTGTGAATGTGCAGGAGAAGAAGAAAAACCTTCCACTAGAGTTTACAGTTGTGAAGGTGCAGAAGAAGAAGAAAAACCTTCCACTAGAATTTAAAGCTTGTGAATGTGCAGAAGAAGAAGAAAAACCTTCCACTAGAGTTTACAGCTTGTGAATGTGCAGAAGAAGAAGAAAAACCTTCCACTAGAGTTTACAGCTTGTTAATGTGCAGAAGAAGAAGAAAAACCTTCCACTAGAGTTTACAGCTTGTGAAGGTGCAGAAAAAGAAGAAAAACCTTCCACTAGAGTTTACAGCTTGTGAAGGTGCAGAAGAAGAAGAAAAACCTTCCACTAGAGTTTACAGCTTGTGAAGGTGCAGAAGAAGAAGAAAAACCTTCCACTAGAGTTTACAGCTTGTGAAGGTGCAGAAGAAGAAGAAAAACCTTCCACTAGAGTTTACAGCTTGTGAATGTGCAGGAGAAGAAGAAAAACCTTCCACTAGAGTTTACAGCTTGTGAAAAAGAAGAAGAAAAACTTTCCACTAGAGTTTACAGCTTGTGAATGTGCATAAGAAGAAGAAAAACCTTCCACTAGAGTTTACAGCTTGTGAAGGTGCAGGAGAAGAAGAAGACTCTGCTGTCTTTTTTTTTCCATTTTTTTAGTCTTCTGTTTTGATTCTCTTCCTTCATCATCATCATCTTTCCCCTCTTCCTTCTCTTCTTCTCCTGCCACTTGAAATTTTTCACTCATTGTAGTTTTCTCTTGATGTTTACAATCAAGAGGATCAGCACTATTTTATCAGGTTTGATCCCAAATGGCTTGGTCTCTGTGTGGAAACGCTAGCTGTCTGCCAAGAGCTTCGCACAGAGCCTGAACACTGTAGATTCAGATGTTGTGAGGGCCCTTTGGGAGCGAGTGAACAGTGAGGAGGCACAAATAGATCATCAAGGCCTAGGGAGAATGGCGATGAAGGGAGTTACCAGGAGATCTGGCCAACGCTCAGCACTCAAGGGAAAGGCGAGACGTATGTGCAATCAGACAGTTACTGGTATCATCAGAATTGGAACTCTTTGCTTGCTGTTGAAGATGAGGATGGAGCACTTATGGGAGTGTCCCAATTGCTGTGATGTCAATTCTTAATTAGACTGTGGTTTCAGCAGTGATCCCCAGGGGTTACAATTAAAATTGCCCTGTGAATTGAGCAGCGCAGTGGTTAAAAGAACCCACACCTTCAGAGTGCCAGGCCAACGGCTTGACCACTTTGCAGTGGAGACCCTATGTGATATTCTCTGCCTTTTAACTTGCCACATGACCAGTTAGGAGGTAAGTACTGACATCACAGCCCTTGGGACAATTTCCCATAAATGCTCCATCCCCGTCTTCGATTACTCTACAGACCCTGCTGGTAATCCTCTTTTTGCTCCAGTGAAAAATCATTTGTTTCATCCACACAATCCACTGGATCCAGTCTTTGCACGTAGGGTGGGCTTGCCCTAACTCACCAACTGATATTAACCATTCAGACCTTAAGTTACTCTGACAGTCCAGAGACCTGGAACCCTTAAGAAGGTAAAGTGTTTGATTTTTTTTTCTGTTGGGTACAAAATGGCCACCTCAGCAATCAGTGCTGACCGGTCTACAAAATATGATGTCCAGTCTACAAAATATGATGTCCAGTCTACAAAATATAATGTCCACTCTACAAAATGTGATGTCCAGTCTACAAAATATGATGTCCAATCTACAAAATATGATGTCCAGTCTACAAAATATGATGTCCAGCCTACAAAATATGATGTCCAGTCTACAAAATATGATGTCTACTTTACAAAATATGATGTCCAGTTTGCCAGTGAGAAGGTCCTGTACTTTTTAGTTTACCAACTGGGGCTTTAATATACACATTTTACATGTTTTGAGATAACCTTTTATTTGTAAACTTCATTGAATGTGATCATATTTATGTTTACACAGGCAGTGTCTGTGAGTACAATATGACAGCCCGATTTGACAGCCTCACCTGTCCCAGTGGTCAGTGTAAAGGGCCTTCTCATTGTGTCCCTCAGTCAGATGGTGGATTTGTTTGTGCCGATTGTCCAGATGATGGATATCACGACAACCAGTGCCGGCTTCGGACCAAAAGTTTTTCCAGAGGATCCTACCTGACATTTCCATCGGTGAAATCCAGGAACAGATTTACAATACAGCTAAGGTATGTGTCCTCTGTTAACTAGTCTTCTTCTTCTTCTCCTTCTTCTTCTTCTTCTTCTTCTTCTTCTTAGCATTTATCTGCTGTAAACTGGCAGAAAGTTATGATTGTTCGTCCACTTATTTACTTTGGTCTTGTTTGAGAACTTGAGTTTTGTGTGCACATCTGTTTTACAGATCCAGCTTATTTGTGTGCAGACTGTTGGCTCCTTGACTCTTAGACTGATGCACTCTGACTTTAAAGGAAACACCCTTAATTAGTCACCTCCTACATGATGATTGTTAGGGGCAGTAGGTCTGTGTGTGGTTTGTTCTCAGAAACCCTGAAACCAACACAAGGATTGTTAATGAGAAATAACTTTCTTTCCTTGTGACTGCTTAAAAAAAAATTTTCTTTACTCTTATTGTTCTTATTTTTCTGTTCCCTCATTTCTTGCCCCTCCCCCCCCCCTTTTCCCCTTAACCTTTCCATGTTTCCTTTTTCCCACTCTTTTCTGATTTTTCCTGTTTCTTCAGTCTTATTGTTTTTCTTCCTTTTCATGTCTATTTTCCTCTATTCCTTCAGTTTCTTTGTTCTCCTTCCTTTTTCTTTTCTTCTATTTCTTCAATTTTATTATTTCCTGCCCTCGTCCTTTCCATCTCCATCTATTTCCATTTCTTTCCCTTGTCTTTTATTTACTTTTCTTTCTATTTTCCTCCAAATCTTCAGTCATTTTATTATTATTATTTCTTTTTTTCTGTTTCTTTTGCCTCTATTTCTTCAGCTATTGATTTCCTCTTCCTTTCTGTTTCTTTTTATTCTTACCTTTTCTTTTCCATTTTCTTTCAATGGCTTACATCTTCTTCAAAGTCAGTTTTCTCCCACATTAAAATAGACATAGAAAAAACCAGACAACCAGAGTCTGCCCTACAATTTCACAGTTTTCTTCTTCTTCTTCTTGTTCACCAGCTGTAAACTCTGGCGGAAAGTTCTGGTTGCTCGTCCACTACTGAACTGCAGTCCTGCTCCAGAACCTGAGTGTTGCGTGTGCATCAGTTTTAGAGATCTCATTCTCTTGAATACAGACTGTTGGTTCCTTGCCTCTCTGGCAGATGCACTCTGACTTCAAAGGAAGCTCCCCAATTAGTCGACTCTTATGACATGCTTTTGGGGAGGCAGTGGGTCTATTCTTGTTTTCCCCACAATGGGACCCGGGACCCACGCGGTGTTTTCACAGTTTTGATTTAATAGACCAAAACTGATAACGCTGACATTTCAATAGTCACCGAGCTATGACATCCACCATAGCTTTAGATGGTTTCTTTGTGTCTACTACTTATAACCTCTAGGAGGCTGAGTGGTCTAGAGGTTTGGCATCCGCCTCGAGTGCTGGGGGTCCAGGGTTAAATCCCAGGTGAAGGCTAGGATTTTTCACGTGGACTTCTAGTAATTCCCCCTGGTCTCTGGATACTGAGACCGGATGCCCGTGTGTATTTTTGCACGTGTAAAAAATACCTTGGCAGTTGAAAATCGAAAAAGAGTAGCCTAACAGCGCTGCCGGGCAAAATTTGGATTTAAAAATCTACCCAAGTATTTCAGGATCCTCGCCGGTGCAACGGAGTTTGTGCACTGCGCTGAGATTCTTTACTCTCGGGCTTCAGTTAGAAGTAGAATGGAGCACTTATGGGCTACACCCGTATGTCATGATGTTGGTCCATTAAAGAAACATAAACATATTAACCTTTTTCATCAATGTAAAACATTCAGTACAAGTTCAGGGTTGTTGGTTATCCGTTTGTCAAACCAGCAGATGTGGCTGGTGTAGATCAGGCATATCAAACTAAAGGACATCTAGGGACCATATGGGTCACATTTGTGTCGTGGTGAGGACCGCAAAACTAAATGAATTGTTTAAAACAACTTATTGAGGAGAATGTCCTTTGTGTGGGCCGCGTTTGTGCTTGCAAAGAGCGGCGTGTGTGCTTGCAAAGAGCCGTGTGTGTTCTTGCAAAGAGCCGCGTGTGTGCTTGCAAAGAGCCGCATGTGTGCTTGCAAAGAGCCGCGTGTGTGCTAGCAAAGAGCCGCGCGTGTGCTAGCAAAGAGCCGCGCGTGTGCTTGCAAAGAGCCGCGTGTATGCTTGCAAAGAGCCGCGTGTGTGCTAGAAAAGAGCCGCGTGTGTGCTAGCAAAGAGCCGCGTGTGTGCTAGCAAATAGCCGCGTGTGTGCTACCAAAGAGCCGCGTGTGTGCTTGCAAAGAGCCGCGTGTGTGCTACCAAAGAGCCGCGTGTGTACTAGCAAATAGCCGCGTGTGTGCTACCAAAGAGCCGCATGTGTGCTAGCAAAGAGCCGCGTGTGTGCTAGCGAAGAGCCGCGTGTGTGCTAGCAAATAGCCGCGTGTGTGCTACCAAAGAGCCGCATGTGTGCTAGCAAAGAGCCGCGTGTGTGCTAGCGAAGAGCGGTGTGTGTGCTAGCGAAGAGCCGCGTGTGTGCTAGCAAATAGCCGCGTGTGTGCTACCAAAGAGCTGCGTGTGTGCTTGCAAAGAGCCGCGCGTGTGCTAGCAAATAGCCGCGTGTGTGCTACCAAAGAGCCGCATGTGTGCTAGCAAAGAGCCGCGTGTGTGCTAGCAAAGAGCCGCGTGTGTGCTAGCAAAGAGCCGCATGCAGCTTATGGACCGCTAGTTTGACATGCCTCTTTTAGATAGTGCGGCTGTGACATCCACAACGTCTGTTTAAAAAATCCGAAATCATCGGCATCTGCGACCTACGTGTTGCGAACATGCTTTGTAATTCTGATGTATCCGATTCGACTCCAACTGTAGGCGATCGACTTCAGACCGATTTGCGTTCATATCGACAATAGTATTAAGAGCCGACTGTTTAGAGGCATTGGCAAACAATTGAACATAAAATTGGCCAGTAAAACCAAACCTCTAGACAATACTTTGGCTGGTTCTGCAACGTCCATCAAGGATATGCAACAAACTTTTCCATAATTTATAATTTGTTCTGTTGTTATTATGTCTTCGGTCATGTTATGAGAAGAGGGACAATAGAACATGTTGTGACCACTGGAAAGATCTGTGAAAGGAGGGTGTCGCGAGCGAATGTGCACTAGAACGCACTGAGTGAGCAAATAAGACGTCAAAACAATACGTAACGTTGTGAAGGTATTGTTGTCAAAGGCAGTTGATGTTTACAGTCCGAAGGAGACGGACGTGTGGATCCTTGAGGACGCTTTACCCCGGGATCCCACGGAAGCAAACGTTGTATAAAGTTGGATCCTTGAGGACGTTTTACCCCGGGAATCCAATATAGACCTCAGCAGGAAGCTGATATATTGACACAGTTCGGCAGTAAGCAGGTATACCTTCATTACTTAATTCAGACTGCGGAACTGAATACAAAGATTACTGTCTGGATCTCAAGGTCGGACTGCGACCTATCGTGAGGACATATCAGTCCATGGATGTACGAGCGGGCTTTTGTTGATGTGCTTGAATGAGTCTGGATTATAATTGCATATTTATCCTTGTGTTGATCATTGCCATTTGTCAATACACAAATGGAATTTTTAAAGAGAGTTCTTGTTCCGCTACGTTTGGAAGCTTCAGCATTCATCATGTTGTGTTACTCTTGGCCAGTGGCATGTTAAGTGTTGATGCCATTTGTTACATTGCGACGCCCCTAGTCACTTTGGTACGCCGCACATCACCACGCAGCCTTTACAGCACGTCACACTGTAGCTCCAAGCTTACGCCGTCACAATGAAGTTACGCTCGTCACAGAGGGGTAGAGGAAAACAACGAGAGAAGATTCTTGACAGTCTTGTTGCATGGCATGGAGGTGTGTCGGCACACGAACTGATACATGCGGCAGGAGATCGTGGATTATTGGGAGGCATGATCGCCCACGCCAGCCGACAAGGCACCTGATGATGATGATGATGATTATGTCTTCTGTTTTTTCACTCTTCATTTTAAAGTTATACTTATGTCAATTTCTTTTCACCTATGGAGCCTGCCGGTTAGGTTGTTGTGTATTTCACTCCGCAGTGAGGCAGATTAAAAAGAAAAATTAGCCCAGTCAACCAAGCCAAAAATAGGTACTAGGAACTTTATAGGAAGTAAGGCATCTTGTGCGACATTGATCACTTCACGTATCGACTGTTGAATATTCTATAAACATAGGTTAGTTCCAAGGCGAGGAAATGGCACATAATTGCTTTTAATTTTAACTCAGTGAACATCGTCTCAAATTGCTTTACGTCTTCAATTGTATATGTTGTGACTTCTGACCTTTCAGTCATTTAATTTTGCTGTTACTCTTCCCTACTGTGCAGTAATGCAGTTCACAGCAGTTATTTGCACACTACGTGTCCAGTTTAAGTTCTTGGTTAATTAGCCATTTTCCCTCTCGTGCATAGTTGTTATGCTGTACGTTTTATCCTTGTCATTATTTGTTTCAGCTGCTTTGTTATCCATGTATGTTTCATTTTGCTCTTTTGCATCGGTGTTTTTCTGAGAAAAGTCAGCATTCTTTCTCTTCTTCTTTTTCTTACCTTTTTTTCTCCGACTTCTTCTTCTTCTTTTTCTCCATATTCTTCTTCTTCTTCAAATTTTCCTTCTCCTCCTTTGTTCATGCAATTCTAATTTTCCTATTTGTACTCACTTCCTCTTTTCTCTCTCTCTCTCCATCTTCTCTACCCCCACCCTACCCCGTATCACTCTTTCCTTCTCTCTATCTTCCTCCCTCATAACACTTCCCCTTACCACTTTTCTCTCCTCACCACACAAACTCGAGTACTAATTACCAACCTGCCAACCCACTTCCTTCCTTGCTTGTCTGTCAATTAAGAGTTAGTCTTTTTTTTTCTTTCTCTCTCCCTCTCCATCTTGTCAATTTCGCCAGCCTTCCGTGTAAATCTGTCTATGTCGCCTCTTCCTAAGCTACACCTCCCCTCCTCTCCTCTGTCTCCACCCTGCTCCACACGTTCACACCCCCCTCCCCTGATACCATGTAGCTCTG